CACACACACACACACACACACACACACACACACACAGAGATGTGCAGCAGAAGTACCACATGCCCGCCCACTTGGACTCAAGCCCATGGCCCGAACAGTTTAATCATATAGTCATTGCACTTAGCATCAACCCTTTACTGTGTGAGTGTTTGTTTAGAGACGCTCGTGCTTCAGTGCACATTTTCTACATAATCACAGCAACACAACTAGGTATTAAGTAATCCTATTCTCTATCCTCTGTTGGCCTTACATAACTATTATGAAACTGTTGAGGCGAGGACTTTATCTTGCTATTATAGTTTCTGCACAGTGATGAAACAATGGCCTTTCTCCTCACTCTCCCTTGTTTTTGTTTCTTAAGCTCCAAAGTTTGTTTACTTAATGAATCCTTTAAGCAAAACCGTTTCCCCCCCCCCCACTTCTGCGGCACAGAATGTGTACGTGAACATTAATCGGATCGTGTCGGTGGGCAGCCGGCTGCTGGAGTCGGGTCACTACGCCTCTCAGCAGATCAAGCAGATCTCAGGTCAGCTGGAGCAGGAGTGGAAGGCCTTCGCTGCTGCGCTGGATGAACGCAGCACACTGTTAGAGATGTCAGCGAGTTTCCACCAAAAATGTGACCAGGTAAATCCCGGTGATCAAAATTTGATGTTTTTTATGTTGCCTGTTGGCGGTACACTACATATTAACAGACATTCAAGCTTTTTATAAAAAAGCCCCCTTTTTAAAGCTTTAGCTTCTGGTTCATGCCTAGAATGACCTCACTATAGATCTCTAATTGTAGTGTGAAAAATTATTGTACTCATATTACAGCTTGTAACAAAGGGAGTTTGCATTATAAATCTCTTGCCCCACTGAACTCAAACACTAAGTTGGATTCACTAAAACTGCACAGAATATTGCACATAATGGTCATTCAATTTGCTTTTTTGCATCAGATCGTAGTTGTCTTGCTGCATAGATTAAGTATGACACAAAAGTATCAGTGCATCAAGGAGGAATCATGTTCATGGCTTTTTAAAATCAGATTTTGTCTTTTTAAACTAGCAAGGACAACCAAATAGGGCTTGGGTGGTATGATGGTATTTTGGTGTACGGCTGTATCAAAATATTGATAGCATGTGACGGCATGACTCGTGAGGTGAAGCGCCAAACTTCCACAAGGCTGCTATGAAAACTGTGACATAAATATTTTATGCTCTTTCAGAAGACGCCCCATAACATTAAGTTGGGGAGCAGAGACACCCGTTTGTTGTCTGTTTGAAATATGGTACAGTATTAAAAGATTATGATGGCGTGTTAACTCTCTGGAGCCTTGTCACATGACCTGTTTGATCTATTTCACTTGAGCCAGAAAGATACGGCTTCTCTGAGACTCTTTCAATTTATGTAAAAATTCAAACTGTACACCAGCTTTTAAATTGTGTTGATGGGCCAAATAAACCCGGAGTTATGATAAATAGTATAGGCCACTTTTTTGTCTGAAAGAAACCCACGACAGGGTTCATTCATGCAGGGTCTTAAAAAGTCTAAAAATATCTACAATTTGAAAATCTAAATTTTAGGCCTAAAAAAGTCTTTAAAATGCCCAGATTTTCATCCAAGATCTTAAATGTAAAGAATTTCAAGTRTTTTTTTTTTTTTTTTTACTTTTAATCATTCCCGTGCTGGCTGCATAAATAGAGTAAAGCACAGTAATCAGAGGTTGACACGATCTGTCTTTATGAAATGCTAACTTTGCTGGTTGTGGTTAAACTACAAATCCTGTAATGACTGCAGGCAAAACATGGAACAGTTTACTTCCATGTTTTTTACCTCTTTACCGCTACAACCCCCTGCATACGGTGGCTTCTTCACCCACCCCAAAAAACAAAGAAGTTCAGTCATGTCCACTGTTGACTTGATATGGTGAGCTTTGCACTCTGTTGGAAGCAGTCCACAGCAGTTGAAATGAAGGTCTCATAGATATGACTGTTTCATTAAAATAATTTAGTGTTCTTGTATTAAAATTAAATGTTCTTTAATAGCTAAATTGACAGCAATAAAAGGTTTCTATGTTAAAATTTCTGGGACCATTTGAATGTTTCTTTTAATGAGTTTGGTCTTAAATGTCATTCCTAATGATCTTAAAAGATCTTTAAAAGGTCTTAAATTTAACTTACTGAAACCTGCATGAACCCTGCCACGATAATGTGGAAAAAAAAAACAGCTCAATCCACCGTCGGTCTCATCCTTCTCTTGAGCCGAAGAAGCATAAACCCGACCTCCTTTCTGACCGAGGCTCAGTTATTTGACAAGTGCCAAAAAATCTACAAGAAATGAAAAAGACGCAGAAGTTGAATGAAGTTTGGTGGCGATGGAGAGAGAGAAAGTAACTCAACACACCACAGACCATACAAAAACCTCATCCCCCACCTATTTCCGCCCTAAACCACACTGTCAATATGAAAAAGATCAATAACACCCAACCCTAATGGTGGTCATTATCCTGTAATAAAAATCCTTTGAAAAATTACTTTATATTCTGTTTGTAACCCTCTATTAAAATGTTCTGTAGATATAAGGTTTTGTGTGTTGAATGTAATGTAGTGCTGGATTTTTGGCACTTTTTGGACTATTTATATGTAGCTGCAACAATATACTGTAGGACTTATCACTGGAAAAGAGGTTGAATTAAACCTTTACCGACATGTCTGCCCTTTTACCTGAAGGAAACATTTGAGCAGATTACTCCTCCTGTGTTTTTTCTTGAAACACATTTAGCACCAACTTAGAACGTGACAAACTTTTCTGGTCTTTGAGAGAAACATTGTTAGTCTGGCAGCACAGTTTGAGGCACACAGCTCCCTTTGCAGAGGCTTTGAGAAATAGATGGACACCAAAAAATACAAGTTTTTTTTCCCATAAAAGACGTTCAGTCCCTTGGTGAACTCAAACCCAAAAATGTTACTAATTTTAAAAGCAGTTTATTCAGGTTGGTGTGTTGTTTCTTGGGGTGTAACGAGATTTCGTTGTACGAAATCTCGCGATATTAAACTCCCGTGATATCTCTCGTTGAGAAGTAACTGTTGTCTCGCTAACAGGGTTGCCAAGTTAGCAACTTTGTCACTAAATCCAGCGACTTTTTAGACCCCTGTAGTGACTATTGACAAATCTAGCGACTTTTCTCTGTTTTTTGGAAACTTAGAAGCTTTGGCGACAGCCCTTTCCAAGCACTTTTCTCCTTTTCTCCTCCTTTCCTCTGCAAGTAGCAAGCGGTGCAGTGAGCCCCTCCCCTTTCCTAAAGCGGTTCAACCAGAGCCCTTGAGAGAGATCTGATAGATGTTCATAAAGGAAAAAAAACTTCTTTTGTTTATATTTATGTTCAGTTTTTGGAAAGTTTTGCGTAAATATAATTTTTTATATGATGTTGGAAGGCCATGCCTAGTTAAAGCACTGTTCTAAGGTCTAAGGCAGTGGTTCTTAACCTGGGTTCGATCGAACCCCAGGGGTTCGATGAGCCGGTCTCAGGGGTTCGGTGGATCCTCTGCCGTGGAGGTAAAGACACACTTGTGTAAAGTCGTGATGACACTCCCTGCTTGGCCATCAGTTGCTGCAGAGGATCACGTGAGATTGCTTGGCCAATCAGTGCTGGCCCCAAAAAAGTATTTTGTGGATTCAAAACAACAAAAAAACAAATTAACTTTAAAATAAATTTTAAAAAAGTTATTAACAACGTTAAATTCTTAAAAAAAATCACAATTTATTTTT